TTTACACACATTATGGTTGAGAAATAAACACTTTTCAGTAGTAGTTTTAAATGCACTTTTTAGAGTGTAGATAAAACATTGGAATACACTCTTAATATGAGTGAATAAACGGATCGCAAGCGTAGACTTCTGCAAGTATACATTTCTGAGTATGTTTAGTGACTATCTGAATTATAAGTAAGGAATTGCAAGAAAGTGCTGAGATTGATTCGAATATCTCCGAATGAACTATATTTTTGTACATTCCTTTCAATTCAGAATTCACACAAATTATTTACATTTTCGATTACTTCATCGGATCGATAGCTTTGACAAAAGTCCTTCGCTGGAATAGGCTGTAAGCTACATTGCGGAAGTCGTATTCCCTCCTCACGGGAGGTGCTAATGCCAGTTATGCACGCACCAGTCCTGAACAAGTCAGCTTGTTCTGATTGTTTCTGGTAAATCTCTTTGCCTTGGCACCAAAATTACTTTTGCCGAGTACATTAATTCCAGCTCATTCAGAAGTCCAATAACTTTATAGTGGAAAAAGAGCTGCCTTGCGACTAATTAGGCCCGACCAGGAACAACGCGGTTTCTTTAAAATACACTGCAGTGATGTGCTGAGCGAAAACATACTAGTTTGTTACAAAGTTATTGCGTGTATCCAATTGCCTGCCAGAAAGTCGAGATTTTATTGTCCGAAAGCTTGAAATCAATGAGACAGATGTTCGGAAATTTTGAGTGACCAACTTTAATTTTATTTCCATTTTTCCTAAGAGTTTTTTTCTGATTACATTACAACTTGCCTATCGTTTTCAATGAAGACAATTTTGAATAATTATTTTGTGGAGTTGTTCGCTATAAGTTCCTCTTGGTTTAAAAAAAAAAAAAAAAAAAATAGCGGTGTCACCTGTTTGAAAAATTTTGATTAATTAAGTTGATAAAATAAATGAAATATTACCATTTAGGTATCGAAGGAATAAGATTTAAGAAAGCATAATTTAGAAACCTTAAAGGGTTGCCACATGTTTCAAAAATTTAATTTAGTTTAAGTGATGAGATAAATAACATACAACATATCAAAATAAAAAGGCGTCAGAAGGATTAGTTTAAAAATATTTTTAAGGAATGAAATGTTGCAATTTAGGTAAAAGAAATGTTGCAATAAAGGTGTTAAAGCTTAATTTAGAAAATATCTTTGAAGAGGGTTGCCACCTGTTTGGAAATTTTAATTCAATTAAATTGATAAGATAAATGACATACAACAATAAGGGTGTGTTAAACTAAAGTGATTTAAGAAAGATTTTTTTAGAAAATATTTTTAAAGAGGGTTGCCGCCTGTTGGAGAAATTTAATTAAACTAATTCGATAAGAAACTGAAATATTACAACGAAAGGTATTTAAGAAATCTTAGGCTTAAAAACATTCTTCAATAGTGTTGTCACCAATCTAAAATGTTAAGACTAAAAATTTAAAATGAAATGAAATATTAGGCGATGGGTACCAAACGAAAGGTGTTTGAAAATTCTTTGTTAGAATGAAGAATAAATTTACAACTTATAATCAAAGGAGTTTGTCACAAGGATTATCACTGATATTAATTTTTATACTTAGGGTTTTAGCAATAGAGTTGAAATACAAATTATGAAAAGTTTACGAAACGAAAAATATTTTGATAAAAATGAATAATAAAAGCGTAAAAAAATATTAAAATATCAGAAGATAGCTGTTTAAAAAGTCCATTATGGAATTTAACATTGTTGTCACCAATATGTAGAAATTCCCGCTTATTATAGATATGTATGTACATTAGGGTGATCCAAAATAACTAGCATAACGAATTTATGGCCTTAAAAGGACCTGTTTAGTGCCAAGAAAATTCTTCCATTTGGAAAAATGTTTATTCCAAATTTAAAAGGAGTCGCTTACATCAAAAATGTTGCAACTATTGAACCATTAAAGCCAGAAATTCGTTACGTTAGTTATTTTGGATCACTCTAATGTGCATCCCTAATTTTTTTTCAAATTGGCTCCAGTTTTGCTTATTATTTCGAAAGTTATATAAATATTTATTTCGAAATAGTTTTCTGAAAATTTATCAAAATTTACACGGAGAAGATAAGAAGTATCCCTCAAAATTGTACCCATTTGGGTACATTTGTTTCAAAACGGCAACACTGACGGCAGTCGGCAGTACTAAGTATATACATACATATGTTATAATAACCGTTCTGGACATCACTGATTTCCTATACTGCTCAAAATATTAATTTGGAATATTAGTATGCTTATGGATTTACAACTATACATATACACATACATACATACAAGCTCATGCATAGTATATACATACAGATGCACACATGTATATCTCAAATAACAATGATGGAATAATTACGATAACTTTTACCCTGCCACCAGTGCGTTATTAATAAGTAAATTTCATTAAAAGTTAAGTAAATGAAGAACATTGGAAACAAAAATAAAATAAAATATGAAATTAGACGGACGAGCTAGGAAAACCACCACCTAAAAATTATTATTCACTCGAATTTGACTATCATCAGCAACATCAGAAATATATATATTTTTAATTCATACAATAAAATGCAATACAATGCCAAAGCCGAAGCACTAATGACAAGGCTAACGTAAACCAACCCTGATTTATGATATGCAATGCTGACAATATTATTTGACGCCGCCACACGGCATTAATGACCAATACATACCTACATTCGCACGTAGAGCATTTGGTAGCGTGTACTTGCGAGGTACGACGATAGCCAACAAAATAACTGACAGCAGCAGCGGCACACCCACCCCAAAATATTTAACGTGGTTGCAAACACTTTCACCGCTTGCATTTTAAAATAATGTAAATTCACTGTCTGCCACATTTTTATTTGAAATATTTATTTTAATAATAAAAAAAAAAAATATGTGAGTATATTCTAATAAAGCATTAGCCGAGCACCCCCCAAAGTTGGTAATTTATTAAAAAGTGCGCACATAAAATGTTACTAATACATATACACAAACATACGTTTGTACATATAAAATATTAAAAAACGCGAAAAAAATTTATGAAAGTATGTAAGTTGCTGTGCGCGCACTGCGAGAAAATTTATTGCCGGCGGATTGCCGCCCTTGAGTGAAAATCGAAAGTGGAGAAATATAATAATAATCTGTAGTCATTTCTCATGCCATGTAGCCAGGCTTTGGCGAAAAGAATGCGGCATCATTGGAACATAACATCAACGCCAACAACAGCTGGTGTCACCAGCGGCAGCAGCAACAACAAAAAAATAAAAATGTACAAAAAAATAAAAAATAAAATTATAAGAAATAAAAAATGCGCGATAAATGCAGACAATTCAAATTTACAATATATTGCACCACCACACAGAACATACACATGTACTTATAATATGGCTAAAAAAATTGTGCATGTGAGTGTGGAATTGACACCACCGCAATCGCTGTACTGGATTGAGAAATTGCCACTTGAAGTCGGCTAACTTAAAACGGCGGCATTGAAAATGGCCCGATAATGTCGCGTCGACATATACATAATATGCGTATACAATTTTTCATTAAAACTTGCCAATACAACTTTTTTTAACCTCATTTATTGCCACCACCGTCGATGAAGATTTTTTTAAAGTATGAATAAATGCAGTGTGTACATACATTAGAGTGGTCCAAAAACAGTAAAGTCGGAATTTTAATGCCGCCAGCGCCTAGGATTGTTCTATACCGAAACAAAATTTACCCCTATTTTTATTTTTAAATCAAAAAATATTAAGGTAGTGAGTGCTCAAAGTATTCAAAGTTTTCCATGTATTTTATATGTGGGAAATAAATTTTTCGTAGAAATGGTATAGAATTCTTGAAAATCAATATTTTTCGATCGGAAAACTGCGGTACCCTTCAGGAGATTTCCAATACTAATATCCAATTATTTATTCAACCATTTGGTCATAGTAACTACATGTTATAGGTCCGCCAAAACCCACAGAAAATGCCAGAAAATACAATGGGAGGATAAAAAAAAAATCTTTAGTATTAAAAAATGGTTAAATAAACAATTGGTTACTGTTACTAGAAGTCTCCTGAAGAGAAGCAGAGCTTTCCGATCGAAAAATTTATGTACGCTCATTGAAATTCCAAAATTCTATGCCATTTCTACGAAAAGTTGTTTTTTTCCCATATAAAATACATGGACAAATTTGAGCGCTTTGAGCGACCTAAAATATTTTTTGATTTCAAAATATTTAAATAAAATATTCGATGGTCTTAAATTTAAAAAATTCAAATTTCAAACTTCTCTAATTACCGCCACGGTGAAAGTGGTATTTGCTGAATGGTGGACAGAAAACGAAGGGCTGCCTTGAACGCCACTGAGGGCGGGGAGAGACAAAGGAGAAGAAATAGAAAAAGATACAGAATGATGAACGACAAAGATAAAGACAAAGGCAAAGACACAGCCAAATACAAGTCTACGTAACTGGAACGACCCAGGTTTATATCTGGCCGGGGGCCGTCACCTCAGCAACATGCCCCAAAACTGTTTAGGGAACTTTTAATGCTGTTACACCAACAACAACAAAGAAAAATATATTATACGGACAGCGATCAAGGTTCTGAAATTATGGAGAAGCTGATGATGAAGGCGAAGTCAAAAGATGATGAGGACGATGATGAAGAAGGTGAAGATAAAGATGGAGATAAATATAAAGATGGAGATGTAAATGAAGGATAAAATAAAAAACGCAGATGGAGATGAAGATGAAGATAAAGATGAGAATATAGGTGAAGATGAATATTCAGATTAAGATTAAGGTTAAATGAAGGACTTCCATCGATGCAATTTTGCGACAAATATTAATAAAATAGAAGTAAAACATTTAATATCTTATTTTAGTAACCCAAATCCACCGGTTAATATAGGAGATATGAATGTTCTCTCAGCCGAAAATAATAATATCGAGCCCTAACCGTCAAAAGGTGGAAGCGACATTTTTTTTTCAAAATTTTATTTTTGTTTGTAAAGCATCTAAATGCATTTCTGCAACAAAATTCAAATTTTAAAAAAGGTCGATAATATTTTTTTCGGTGGTTTGGGCTCGATGTAGTATACAACAAAGCAGTTTATTATAAAAAAGGCTTACATAAAAAGTACATCTGAAAAAATATATTCCAAACTTTTTCTATTCCGGAACTTTTGCTATGAAGTTTCACTTCTTGCAAGTGTAGAGCCTACTCGCACTCAGTTTTTTTTAACCACCCATCTGTCGAGCGTAGCATGATTCATTAAGAAATTAAACTTTTGATTCTTGGAAATTTCTTTAATGTACTTGTAGTTGGAATTGCAAAACTCTTTTCACTCCTTTTTAATTACATACATATATTGAAGAGCTTTACACTAACTTCCCTTTTCCATGCCTTTGTAAGCAATGACAGCCGGGCGTTTTTAATTGCATCATTTGATAATACTAAAATCTACAAATGCTTCATTTTATTACAGAGCAATATCCGCTGTCTTATAAGTAAGTATCCATCTATATAACTATGTGTGTGTGTATGCATAACAAAATTATATTCATTGCTGGCTCCAACAACACCCAACCTCCTTTCATTTGCCTACTCAACTTCAATATACATACATACAACATCAACATACAATATACAAAATAAGCTCCAAACAATTGTGGTCCGTCTGCTGGCTAATACTGCATTCGATTTGGCACTGCTCCGTGCCTCCGTCAGTGCATTTAACATTTGAAGCATTTTAGCGCAATCAATTGCATTTAAAAGCATTTTCCTTTTATTACTTTTTAGCTGCAGCAAAGTAATGCAATCTCTTTGCCACATGTGCGAACCTGCGCGCCCGCCTCCCAATCCGGCCGCCCGACAACCAAAACAACACAGGCGTACGCAGTTACGGTGCTGGCTAGTCACGTCGGTATTGTTTTTCGCAAAGCAAAGTAATGAAAATGGAATGCACATAAAAATGGTATCCTTGTTACGATTGCGCGCGTGGGCGTCTCACATCGCCTATCCGCCTGCATTTCTTATTGCCACTGATCAGACACACACTCGCATACATACATATACATTCAAAACATCTGTTCAAGTACAAGTTGAGGTTTATCTATTTACATACATACATACATATGTATTTAGGTAGATATGTGTGATGACTCAAGGGTTCAAGCGCGCTGCAGTTGTTCGAATTGCAACACTGTAGGCTCGCGACGGATGCTTGCACTCGCATTGAGTTGTACGATTGTTTGCCCTTACTGTACTTTGTTGCACTGTTGTACATACATACATATGTAGGTATGCTGTATGCTGTATGCTGCATGCTGCATGCATCTCAGCGATGGCGGCTGAGCTACGTCTACGCTACTATTTTACTTGCAACATTATGACTAGCCAGCGGACACGCTCATGGTCGCGCGTAATCGTCGTGAGTTTTCATACACCAAAAAAAAAAAAACAAAATACAAAGTGCTTTTGATAGAGTGGCGGGAAATGGGTCGAAAACTCAGGCAAATACGAAAGGAAGTAAAATTTTATATGACTACAAAGGCAGCTGGCACACACACACACACACACATGCACACATGCGCGCCAGTTCGTTCGATGCTTGCACTCAGCAACCGGCGGCGACCAATATCCTGCGACTGGTCAGTGCAACAACAACAACAAGCCCCCCTCCCAATCACTTCGCTCAGCTATCCGCCTTCCGCCCCCCACCTCATTCAACAGCAACTGCACGTCGCTCGCACCACTACACCACACTGCACTGCACTGCACTGCCTCGTAGGTCCATCGCACTAATATTTTATTACTTACATTTCTGGCGAGCTGAGTTGAGTAGTTGCGTTGTAAATTTTATAGTTTTGTGGTACTTAAGTTGTAGATACAAAGTAATTTTGTGGTGGTGTTGGTGCTTTGCCAACTAAACTACTATAAGAGTAGATATATGTATGTTTGTAGTTGGCCTTGCATTTGCAGCGGCGTGTGGGCTGCTTTAGTATCCTGTATGCGAACGCAAGTGTGTGTATGTGCGTTAATACATAAATGTATTTCAGCTGTGGGGCGGGTATTGGGGCGGCGTGCGGACGAAGTGCATTTTGCTTATTTGTAATTCAGCTACAGCTGCGATTTTTATTAGCGCCTTGTGTGTGAGACTCGAGAAATTTGCGAATATTTGCAATAGTAACTTGTTTTAGAATATTAGCAGATGTTAGCTACAAATACAAGTACACGTTGCATATTGCAATAGTGCAATGTTTTACAGTTAAGTTTTGTTTTTGTTGTTAGGAATGGAAAATCTAGAAAAGCGATATTATTGCGGCATTAAAGTTGGTATGAACATTTTTTTAAATTAATTCTGGTAAAATGATATCGTTGGACATAATACGTTTATGGTTTTACTTACTAAAAGACTCCTCTGTCAAAAAAAAATTACGCAGTAAGGGGGGCTTCCCAAGACTCCCATAGAAAGAAGCGAAGGCAGAGCCCCTAGAAGAACACATTAAGCAAACCTGACTAATCTCATACAATGCCTACTACATAAACTCTCGAGCTGGTGCAGCAATCGCTGTTTGTGCGTAAATTACACGCAATCCGAACTGGGACTATTTACAAAGAAACATAGCTTTCCATCTTTAGGAAATAATGCCTTAACATTTAGGTTTAACTCTGGTTTAATTCTGGATAGGAAATTAAATTGGGGGCTTAACATTAACGAAAGGGTCAAAAACCTACAACCAGTCCTTGAGGTAAAAAAAAAAAAATTTGTGTGGTAGAAGCTGAAATAATGTGTTAGATCTCAGTTTATAGAAAGAAAACTATTTTTTTTTTATGTATTACGAGACAGAAAATATATGTATTAGGATCTTATAGTGTCGAACAAATTAATATAATTAATAATTTTTCTGTTGTTGAGATGAGGTTATATGTTCGCCCAGCCACTAAAATTAAAGGGAGTTGAGGTGAGTTGTTTTGAGTTAAGAAGTGAACTGAATTTCTGTGAGTTGAGATGAGGTGAGTTTAGACAACTTAAGGTGCGTTAAGCTGAGTTGAACTATGGTGAGATGAGTTGAGGTGAGGTGAGATAAGGTAAGTTGATGTGAAATAACATTAGCTGGGGTGAGTTGAGTTGAGGTGAATGGAAGTGAGGCGAGTTGAAATGAGGTGAATTGGGTTAAAATTAAATGAGGTAAGTTGGAGTGAGGTCCGTTAAGGTGAGCTGAGGTGAACTGAGAGGAGTAGCTGTGAGGTTAGTTGAGGTGAGATGATCGGAGTTGAGGTGATTTGAGGTGAGCTGTGGGGAGTTGGGGTGAAATGCGTCGAACGACATAGCAGAACAAAACATAATATTACATAAGAAACCATAATATAATATAACATAACAAAACATTAAATAGCATAACATAACATAATACAACACAGCATAACATATCATAGCATTACACAGCATACCTGAACATAGCCTATTTCATACTCCAGTTTTATCTTCTTTTCTTTGTCTCTATCTGTTTCTCTTTCTCTATTTTTTCCTCTAACTTCTTTTTTATATTGAAATTTATATTTATCTTTACACTTTGATTTTTTCCTTTTCCTTTACTCTGATCTTTATCTTCATCTATATATTCACCCCACCTTTGTCATTATATTTTGTATTTAAATTTACCTTCCTCTTTGCCTTTAGGTCTCTTAATTTTTATTTTAATCTTTGCCTTTTAACCTTTCTTCTTCTTCATACTCAACTTTACCTTATTCCTTCTATCTCCCGTATATTCTATCTCCCATTCTCTTTCTCATTCCAATTGAAGCGCGAGCGAAAAGGATGCGAGAGTTATGACTTTTTAAAAGTAAGAATGCTGGCATCTACCCGCGGCTCGGAAATTCGATCACAAAAACGCTAGTTATCGAAACGATTTCAAGGCAGGGGCTGCTTCTTGCGGAGATGAAGATGGAAACTGGTAACAGACGTCTAGATTACACTTGAGATATGGAGGCAACACTTCCCAATGCTTATAAATGGCGATACAGGTGGCGCGTTTCATGAAGAGAAACACAGACCAATGTAGAAGGTCTCTGGAAAGATCACTAAGCTTGAAAAAAAAAAACACAAATAAACCATAGCGCTCGGAGCGGACGATATACCGGCAGAGTTGTTCAAGGCAGTGAAAACCTAGTCTTACTCATAGAAAACAACGATTACATTGAATTAGACATCTCACTGGTGAAAATGTTCTTCAACTCAACGAAATCAAGGGCGTTCATGACTGGCGAAACCTTGCAAATGAGATTGCGAGTTGTCGAAGTTTCTCTAAGTGGGGGCTCCACTGGCCAAATGTGGTCTTCTATGTACTTCTGGATAGATGAACTTTTAGTCTACTCATCGAATGCTGGGCGAAAACCTTGGAATGCAGAATGGCTAGATCCCTCCGGCGACGTCTGAACACGTGTTGACCGGCCGAGGGATCTACTAAAACTGAGCAATCTAATCACCTATACTAGGTTAGTTTCAGGTGTATTTCGAACACTAGGGTACTTACTGAATCACAAGCAACTTTTGAGCTCAAAATGAGTTCAAATGGCTTGCCGCAATGCGGTGGGTATGAAGTAGGTTTTACTGTACTGCAATTGTTTTCAGTAGAGCATGGTTGCATTCCAAATATATTACTGTTATAAGTGCTTGCCTAACTCTACCACTTACAAATTGATAAATATGCTACCTTCTCTCAAATATTTTTTGTACTCTTAATTCAATTCAAAATTTCTAAATAACCTTAATTACAATAATAATGTTGCATGCGACCTTAAAACAATTGACTTAAGAGTGCGTACACATGACTTAAGCATAAATATTTGATAAGCACATAAGTATTTACGTATTTTTCTTTTAATAAAAGCGCTTTGTTGTATATTCTCATTTAATTCTAATGCCTTTTCGTGCGTCAATTATAACTAGTAAATTAATTACAATATTTACCAATTAAGTTAATTTCATTATATTGAATTTTTAAACTCTTCTACACACATGACATAATTATGAGCACAAATATTTAATACACGCGCGCGTATTCACCTACCCTGTAGGGAAACCCCGAACTGGTGAACCAAATTTATAGTTCCGTACTAGATTTTTATCGCCAAAAACTAACCAGTCCGATAGTAACTATATTGCCACCAGTTCAAAAGCAGCGAGATGTGGTACGTTAAAACAAAAATGAAGTTTAAGAAATCTATATCTAAAATGACGAATTTAGAACTGGTTCGCAACTATTGGAAAAGGGATGCAGAACGAACTAGATCTAGTTCGGAACTAGCGAAAAAGGGGTGCAGCAGGGGACTTGTTTACTTTAAATAGATTTTTGCTTGGCGGGTTTTTCGTTCAAATACGCTTTCAGTCTGCACTTCGCAGATGCTTTCTCATAGTTTGGTAATATAAAACTAAAATTTTTGTTAACATTTTAAGATCTAACCAATAACAGCAAGCACCTCTGCAAACTCAGCTACAGCCAAAGGTATGTAAAGGTACATTTCTTACAATCATTGAAACAAATTTAATTTCAAATTGAAAACACATTTCTTTGAAAATAAATTAAAATCGCACACACGCAAGAACCAAGAAGATGAAAAATCATTATACTTTTTTCTTTCATCCGTCGAACTGGTTCGGAACTATAGAATTTAGGACTGGTTCTGAACTATAGAAAAGGTAATGCAGCGGGGGACAATTCCCATGACATCGCCGTGTTAAATTCGCCAGTTGTTCTAAATGTACTAGAAGCGCACCAGTTCAGAACTAGAGATTTTAACCACAGGGTGCGTACATACCTGTAAAGCTGTTACTTGTAGGAAAGTCAGTGCAGACAAAAATTTAAACTTCTAGTAAAGTTTTTTCACATTAATTTCATTAGTCAGCCACTAATTTCATAAACACTTTTGAGTTTAATAAAAGTGAATTGTATGAATGAAATTTACCCGCATACTGAGATGTTTATAATAATACCCTGCAAAAAATGGGACTAATTCGGGATGACTCCGAGAGTAATCGCAAAGGAGCATGCGACTAATACCACTTTTGATCTCTTTATATGGAATGAACTGATCGCTTTTGTTCGAGCATGTCCTATGAAGAGACTAATTGTTCACCTTTATACCCGAACGGGTATAAAAAGCGACTAGTCACTTTTAAAAAATAAAAATAAAAATTTGAGCCAGCTGAGATTCGAACCGGGGTGCTCAGTTTTGTTAGGCGAATACTCTCTCTGTGTGCCAACGCCGCACATGAAATTTCATTGACTAAGTGCGTACATATCATTAAATCGTTAATAGTACCCGTTAGAGATGAGTTGGGGACTAATTGATCTCCAATTATACCCATAAGGGATGAGTCGAGACTAATTGACCTCCATTAGTACCCGTATGAGACTAGTTGGGACTAATTAATGCCCAATTGTACCCGATTGAGAGTAATCTCGGAATACTCTCTTTAGAGATTAGTCGCACAATTTTTTGCAGGGTAATAATAGATTGGCGCTTACACATATGTTAGTGTTTGGCCGAGCTTCTCCTCCGACTTGTGGCGTGCGCCTTGATGTTGTCACACAAAGCGGAGGGACCTACAGTCACCTTAGATGTTTATTTGTTATTAAAAACATAGTATATTGCTTTGAGTACAGTACGTATTTCCTATTGGCATCGCAACTTCACTTACATATACAAATGTACCTACACAAAAACGCCGCAAAGTATGCACTTAGTTATAGTACAAGGACACTTGCCTATTCCCACAACCGTACAAATGTCGGCATTGAGTCGTAGAATGGCAAAAGCCACATAAAACCTAATTAAATGTTAATAAAAAAATGTTAAGTTATTATAAAGTGAAAGAATAAAATTTAATATAGACGGAAAAATGGAAATAGCGGAAGGACAAAAGACTTTGTATGACTTTGTATGCGTGAATAATGTGGGTAATTTTATAATTTATAATACATAACTGACACACAACTATGTACACATATTTTTTTATACATATGAATGGCACAATAAGGTAGTTTTGAGTAGATTTTATTGTACTGTAGAATATTTAAGGCATTGTAATCGGCGCCAAATTGCTTTGTAGCGTAATGAGGCAGTTAAGAAAAATTAACTTGTTTAGTAAATAAATTAATAAAATGGTATGACATGTGAAGTGAGTATGGAATAAATCGTGCATAGAATGGATTATAAATGAGAATGAAATACGAACGAGGAAAAGGAACACGTGTCAAATAAGTCAGCCTAGCTAGAAAAACGAAAATACTTTTAGATATGTTATTGTTTTAAGTATTGACTAAGCTCTTGGATTTGGTTTGGTTTAGATTTGTTGTGGGCCGGAAATAATAAAACGATTTTTCAAGTACTCAGGCAAAGTAGCTCCTTGTACTTCTTAGGGTCTAGAGAACCTGAGTTTAAACTGTAAACTTTAAAGTATTTTTTCAAGGCAATTTCGAAAAACAAAGAATGTGTCCTATTGCATTTTGTGGTGACACCTAAAAGCAGCAATAAAAACTTTTTTTTTAAATAGCTCTACTTTAATAATCAAAAAACTTAAAAAAAGTGGAATGGTTTTTAAAGAGCTTTAATTTAATAACATTACGGTGGTACGTTAGGGTGATAAGAACTATGATCTGTTCTGAGGGTCGGTACTAGATCGGGATACTTGAGGTCAATGAACTTTGGAACCAACGAATTTTCCTCAAGGCAAAATCACCATTGTATCATACTTTAAGATCCGACTGTACATGTAGAAAAATCTAGAAAGGCGACCGCTACAAACGACAAATAAAAATTCAAGATTGAGTCCCTATCGAATACTTCGCTAGCAAAAGTTTAATAATTTTTAGCGACATTGAAGACAATGAAGTTTGGAACGCAAAATTTTATCCTAAAGACAAAGGCATCGATATCTCATACTTTAAGATCCGCATATGACGAAAAGTGTAAAAAGTGGACCTTTACGTTAGGCAATATTTTTTAGGTTTCGAAATTTTCTTGCAAAAATACTTAAGACTCAGGGGTTTACAGCTAACTGTTTTGCTGGTACGATCTAAACAGTCCAATCAGGTCTCAGTCTGAGAAGAAATTTTACCACCATCCTGTCCGCCCTTACTTTACCTTCCGCCAATTAAACAGGCCGTTATCTTAAGTATTGCAAATATCTACGATTGAAAAGCATTTGAAGTAATCCTCCCAGCCTGTTCCAGTTCTAATGACCTTCTTAACAACACTCTTTGCCCAGAGCTGCGATCTTCAAGCCACAATAAAAAAAAAAAAAAAAATCAGGAGATACATTACTTTTATTATTTCCTTTTGTTTTGAAGACTAAAACATCCAGTGCCTAAAGGTGTGCTACACCCCAAGCAACTGGCACCAAACCGGATATAAATCATCACGTTTATATAAACAAGTATGTGCAAAGCTGTCTGTGCATACATTTTATATTCGAAATTATTTGTGCACATGCACTTCTCAACTGCCGCAGAACAAAACCTAATAAAATAGTGAATTGCTGGCGCCCCGTCTCAAGCTCAACTTGCTTGACGCATCAATCCACAATGCTCAGCACTCCCGCTTGCTGCATGAAAACTACATCCACCTCCTTCCGGGAAAGAACTGACACGGTATACTAATAATGGCCGACTTTAAACAGTTTGTTAGAGATCACACCATTCCAGTAGCAAACTAATTCTGATGTAACGTCTTAAATTTAAAAAGAAAAAAATGTTTACACAGGGTGTACACATCAGGCGGCTAGGAGAAATTAACTAGAAACCCTTGAGGTCAAGCGGTGAGTGGATGATTTCTAGCATGGATGCCATGAGGTATGAATATACATAAGTATACTATTTTTAAAACTCATATTTTGATACAGTTTGTAAAAATGGACACAGCAACTTTTCACCCTAAGCTAGTGATATCTTTCCTTAATGTGCCGCATATTTAAAAAAAAAATCACTCTACCAGGAGAAAAAAGGTCTTATATAAAGATATACAAAATTTATATACATACTTCTAACGAAACTAATGCCGAATTTCCACTAGGCATTGGAATGAAAAAACATTGCAGGCATTTAAAAAATGCCATATGGCAATTAATTAAATGTCTTGTTTTTTTTTTTTTTTGAACGTAATGACACGAATGTTTTCTAATGCACAACTTTGTTAATACAATTTTTGTCATTTAAGGAATAGTGGAAATTCAGCATAAGTATTTGGAATAACCGTATCATTACTTTTGGATGCCTCTCCATTTTTGTCTAAGCAATTAGTGATCCTGCTTTCGCCTGCTCTTTCATTTTCCTAAAACTTTTAACGCCTCCATCATTATCGTTTTTTTTCTTTCACTGAAATTAAATGTACTTTGATAATTATAAATATTCCTTTTTTATTTCCACTTCAATGCAAACTTTTCCACATTTTATTCTCCCCTGCCTTCGTGCCACAATATTTAATAATATGCTACGCTCGCTGTATAATTACATTTACTTTTGCTTTAATTTTATTCTTTTGCTGTATGTATTAAGTGTACTCCCACATCTTGCCACCGCTTGTTCATTTTCATTTTAATCTAAAATATAATAATAATAAAAAAATAATGAAAGCAAATGGAAAAAAAATATAATTATTACAATAAAAGCAAAAAAGAAAAAAAAGCGCAGCAACAACACGGCGAAGAAAAATGAGAAAATCGATTTTATGCAAATTGACTTTTGCGTCGTCGTAATCGTAAATGAGGATTTCTTTCTATGTCTTCGCTGTCTCGACAGCCGCCGCTAGCGGTAAGAGAGACGCGACGCGATGTTTTCTTGTACCTGCATACATACTCGTACATACATACATACATAGCTTTTACTTATTATTTATTCTTTAATTTTATTTGTTAAGACAATGGCGGGCCGAGAGTGAGCTGAAAGAAAGTGAAATGGTTGTAGGAGGAGGGAGGGAGGGAGGGAGGGAGGGTGGAGGATTGGAGGGAGGGTGGAGGATTGGAGGGAGGTTCCACCGTGGAGACATTTTGGAAAATGGGTGAAAGCGCAAGCAGTTGGAGGCGAGCTGTTTTTGTGATTATAAGATATTTATGCAGTAATACATACATACTTGGGCGTCTGAGTTTTAAAGTTTAGTTAAATTCAAGTGTATGTGTAAAGCTTAAAGGGCCAATAAGACAGTGTGCATAATAAGCAACCTGGAAAAAATTGAATAATTAGATTCGCGCCGCAGTAAGGCAGCAAAGCAAGTTCGATGGCGGCGGTGGGACTTTGATTTTTATTTTACTAAATGCTAATTAAATCTGTGCTCTACAAATTTGAAAAGAAAAAAAAATTACAAGCAGTGTTTCTTTGTATAACAAAAATCCTTGATTTCATTTCAAGTGTTCAAGCGCTTATTAAATTATACTGACCGGTCAAAGGTCACTAAACCAATCTGTTTCGTAAAATTTATAGGTTTCATATTTTTCCCCCCTAAATTTCTATTAGCTTTTCTGCATTTCAGTTTATTTTATTGTCGGCACTTCCACATACATACCTACATATTTACTACTTCCCGAATTCGCGCCAATGCAATCACTTTTTCATCTCTTTATTTCACCAGCAACTTTGTATTGTCCAAATGTGTGCTTTGCCGCCGCCACGTTACTTTATTGGTTTTTGCTCATTTTTCACTTGGCCATTACCGGATTTTTATTAGTCGCCAATTTAATAACACATTTCTCTATGCACTTTTCCGTTCGATTCGGAATTGGAATTCTATTAGTTTTATTTGTTTGGCTATATTTATATTCGTTGCTTGCTCTAGTCCATGCCAGTTATTATGTACATACAGTATTGGCCATATCTATAGTATCCTCATTTTTGCCACTTATGTTTAATTACTAGTTTTTAAGAATTTAGGTACAGTTCATTCTCTAAAAATGTGGATTTTTTAGTATTTTGCAAATTTGTTAGATTTTTTTGTAGTTTTCTACAAAGTTTTAAAACTAAGTTTATGTGGGTTTTGTTAGAGAATGAACTGTACTTTAATTGAAAATTCCTAAAAATAAATAAATAAACATGAATGGAAAAATAGCACTTTGAAATGGGGGTGCTATTGTATTGGCCAATACTGTATGTATAAAGGTACATATATAAAAAATCGTCCTCTGTTAACTTGGCTGGATTTTATAGCTTTCTGCAGCCGTCCGCAGCGGTCCAGGCCAGGTTTAATGGTCCGTTTGCTACATTGTCGCTGTTGCCACTGCTGCCTTAACCTCAGCTTATTCTCATTTACATACATATATAGTTACTAGCTGTTGTTTTTTTTCAGCTTATTTTGCTTATTATCTTTATTTTTTCTCGCAGTTTTTGTTGTGCATTTTGTTTTAGTGTTGCGCCACTTGAGGTTGGTGGCGCACCAATTTAGCGTAAGGCAATCAAAAGAAGTGCAGCCAACACTTTCATTTGCGACCACAATAGCACATTTAATAAGGGCTGGTCGCTAAGAGGATATTTGCTCGGAGCATAGAGTGGCGCTAGCTGTCGAAAAATATTTTATTTTACATAAATCTCTTTGCGTGTTTTAAAGTTCAGTTGGTGTAGACTTAACTTAATTTCACTTACCGTAAGAAATCATCAATGATTACTCAACACGTCAACTTAAGCCAGAAGCGGAAATATTCGGTTTTTGTGTTTTCTTTTTCAGCTGTTTGACAGTTTGCCGCATAAAATGCCACATTAAAAAAAATTCATGCACCAAATATGTTTGCGTTCATTTATTTTTGAGAAATGCAAAAATGAAAATCTGGCAAGCCTGTTTCTCTCACCGCTCTCAATTTTCGTAAGGCCGTAACTTAAGAATCTAAAACCTACAGGTTCTTAAGTCTCTTACGGTAAGTTAAGTTTTAACTAACCGCCAACAAAGTTTCTCATATAATAGGTTGGCCAAAATATTAAGTTAAATTAAGTTACGAAAATTAAGTCTCGACTATCTGAGCTTTTATTTGTACATACTTTCTTTAAGATCAATAACCTTTACTGCAGTTTAATGAAGAGAATTGAAAACCGCGAATTTTAATTAAAGGAAAAATTGAATGAAGTAAATAAATATTGCAAACGACGGCTGCTTGAAAGTCTTTCAGGTAACCTTAACCCAGCGGAATTAAGCTAAATCTAGTTTGAATTCTACAGGGGCGGACCCAGCAGGATTGTTTTCAACATATATCGTGTATATGAATTTAAAAAACACCCCGCTTTTAAAATTTTTAGAGTTTTGATAGTTTTGAATTTCTTGAAGTTTTCAGTTGTAAATAAATTGAGTGGAATTCCAAAATTTTCTAAACTTTCAAAACTTTGTGAATTTGAGAAATTTAAGTATGTAAATCACAATAATTCTATACAATGATGAATACTAGATTTCTATTAATTTTTTATTATACAAAATGTTGAGAATTGTAGGAATTCTAACAAATTTTTTCTATGTAAAAGTGTCGAATATACAAAATTGATCAAACGAAATTAAAAGTTTTCGAATGATGAAAACATTTTCATATTTCGTCGTTTTTGAAAATTTAAAAATTTTCGTAATTCTTGAAGATTCAAAAAAATTTTGGTCGTTGATGTTTGCGAAATTTTCAAAAAAACTTTGTTATATCAATACAACATTTGGAAAAGTTGAGAAAAGCGGAAAAATTTTGGAATTTTCCAAAAATGTAAATATATTTTAGATTTAAAAAAGTGGAAACGATGCATTTTGGATTTTTCTTGCTTCCTATATTAAAAAATGAGCCTTCGAAAAAATTGTAGGTACTTACAAACTTTTCACTCAAAACCAGCGTTATATCAATTAATAGGAAATTAAATTTGGTTCAAAATGAGAAATGTACTTACCAGCCAGTGACGCAATGGATTGGATTTTGTTATTGCTGAAATAGTTTCTATTATTTATCTCCAAACTAAGTACCTATTTCTTGCATTTTACGTTCTAACACATGACCACTATTTAAATTACTTTGCGATATTTTTTTTTAAATATATTTCCTACACTTACATACACTTTAAAATAATGCAACATTCGAAAACAATTAATGTGACTAATTAAACTAATTTACATACCTACACGCATTCGTATGCACACTCGTACCTATACATAAATGTACCGAACCGACGCGACCCGACTATTTTCTACGCGACCCGACTATTTTCTACGCGACCCAACTATTGACTGCTTTCACTTTTTCACTTCATTCGTTAATAGCTTTTAAATAGCTATATGTAAGTATAATTTTTAAGTAAATAAATTTATGTACACTTGTAATATATTTTGGAATAAAATTAGTATATTTCTTTTACACTAAATTTATTCAAAGTGACTTTCACAGCCACAAATTAACCAAACTAACTTCCACTGCAAATGTCCACTGAATACATACTGAAAATGCCTACATACACTCTCACAGCTTGACCGATAATTGTTCACCTGGAAAAACATCTCTCCATCAATTTAAAAATAGTAAAATCACTGAAAATGAATTAAAAACTCTTTTAATAAATTAGTTTGAATGGATGTACTCTTAACCTTAACATTTTACAATACAAAATAAGAGCAGAAGGCACGTATGAGAAACGGAAGTGATTTTGTGCTTGAAAATGTGAGAGCGAGCAATTACGTGTTTCCGCTTAAAGTTTTGTATCATGTGATAAAAAGATAACGGAAGAGAGCACTAAGGAAATGGAAATAAAAATGAATATGCTCTCCACCTCTCTTTGAGTGAGAATTCATTTCCGTTTCCCGTGCACACTTCATCCGCTCTTGAAATGTTTTTTTTTTTGCTGCGCAATCGGCTCGCGCAAAATCAATTTCCAAATTTGCAAATTGAGAATTTTCAAGTGAGTTACCTATCTTCATTCAAACTCTTTTTAAGGTGAGAACCTGGAAAAATAAATTTTTTTGGAAATTGCAAATTAGCTGTGATGGACTGAGAGTGTAGATTAATTTTCAATATGTATTCAGTAGACTTTTGCCGCGGATATACCTAAGTTCGTATGGTGCGCGTGTTCATTCTGATAAAAAGGAAAATATTTTGCAAAAGTGTTAGAATAATTTATTTAATTTGTGTTCAAATGTGAAATAGCAGTAAAAGTGCAAGTAGTAATAAAAAATATAAATAAATAGTGCGATTTTATTTCATTGCTGCTAAGAAATTATGTGAAAAAGTGAAATTCGTGTGTTCGCCACGAAGAAATGGGAAGCCATCTTGTGGTCGTGTCGCGTGGGTTCGGTAACGTGCATATCTACATATATGCATATGTACACGTGTATGTAAATGTTCGCGTATACATACATAGGTATACCTATGTACCTATACATACGTTTTATAAAACGTACATATATGTACATATTTATGTAGTCATATTCATACATAACCATACTACCCAACGCAAAAGCCATCACATAATATTGATAATTTGATTCTCGGTTTTCATTGGAGAATTTCATAAAATTCTAACACCTTGTCATTCGGCTAGTGGAATATAATGAGTAGGTTGTTAAATACCTGAAACCAAGCACTTAATAAAAAAATGCAGGTACGAGTGAATTTGGTAAGTAAGAACATACTTTTACATTACGCACATATGTACATATGTATTTATAAATGTAAATGTGAAAGCACATACTCGTACATACATATATGTATCACAGATATACACAGATATACATATTTGCGCGAATAAAAAAATTTATAAAATAAACTCGAATTGAAATAAAATAAAACAAGTAAAAAAGTATGAGTTCGGGCGCAACTGAACTTTATATACCCGGCGCAGGTATCAAATATCGTCGTTTCAACT